AAAAAGGCTACACTTCAAATGCTCAATAAAAGTTATATATCTTAATCTATCTTTTAACATTCAATACAAAAGCAAATATGGCATTTGCATAAGCAAAATCAAAGTAAAATCAGTGTGCAAAAGAAGTTTATAAATTTGTTTGAGGAATTTGGAAAAGTCAGAAAACTAGTATTTGTGACAGTATAACTAATGCTTCTAACCTTTACTCTAATTTTTCTTTAGATATTTGAGTTTTATAAAATATCTCTAACATACTATTCATAATTGAAAGCTTTACAAACTGTGAAAGTTTTATTTAACAAATATTTGTTACTCTCCCTACCATCTATAATAATAAAAGGGTAATATGCTAATTAGATCGGACATCTTCCGGACGTCATTCCAGACATCCTTCCTGACAAAGCTGAGGCCAGAGGGAAGCCAGTGCTGGCAGCCGGAGGAAGGAAGGCCCACTCTTGAACAAATTTTTGTGCATCGGGCCTCTAGAAAAATAGAATTAATTAACTTGGCATAATACTCTCATGAGACTTACATTTTTTGAGAGAGAAAAGATATGAGTAATACAGTAAATAAATTAAATCATTATATATAATCTGTGCTGTTAGGATAAACAGAATTACGCTTATTTAGATAAGGCGATCTGCAAAGGCCTTTGTGTAGGCAATATTTAAACTGAAACGAAAGGTTTGAGAAGCCAGTCATTCAGAAGGCGGGAGGAGAGCATTCTGAGGAGGAAAAGCACATACCAAGACACTGAGATAAGAAGGGCCTTGGCATAGCATAGGAATTGGCAGAAAGCGTTTATGGGTGGAATTTAATGAACAAAGTGGAGCGTGGAATGAGATAGGCGGGTAGGCAGAAGCCAGACTAGTCAGGGCCTCTGTGGGTAAACCTTAGGAAAGCCGTTAAGGTTAAGCCCTGGAGTGAAATAATTGTTTGTAAAGAGCACTGTGGCTGCTAATGGACTAACTGAAGGTTGCAAATGCATAAGCTCGGAGATCACTTAGGAAGCTGTTACAGTAGTCTAGGCTGGGGTGATGGTAGTTTAGACTAAGTGGCCACAGAGATGAAGAAAAGGAGGTGGATTCAAGAAATTTATTTGAGCCTGGCCAGCATGGCTCAGTGGTTGAGCGTTGACCCCATGAACCAGAAGGTCATAGTTTGATTCCTGGTCAGGCACTTGCCCGGATTGCAGGTTCAATCCCCAGTGTGGGACGTGCAGGAGGCAGCTGATCAATGATTCCTTCTCATCATTGATGTTTCTATCACTCTCTGATCTCACATTGAAAATACTGTGAGTACAAAATTTCTTCTCTGAAATCAATTTAAAAAATTAAAAAAAAGATATTTATTTAAGAGTCAACTGATGGAACTTGCGGATGGGTAGAAAGGGGCAGGTAATTAAGGGGGAAAAAATAGAAAGTGAGGACTTAGGGTTCTAACTAGTGATTGTGTAAAAGATGGTCCTAATAATTGTGAGGGAGCAGTCTGGGGGCAAATAGGTTTTGGGGGGATGGAAATTAAAGTCATAAGTTTGGACATGTCAAGTTTAAGATACTTGTGTTAATGTGAATGGTGATATCAAGTAATTAGGTGTGTGTGTGTGTGTATGTGTGTGTGTGTGTGTGTGTGTTGTATTTATATTACAGATCTGAACTCATAGGGAAGTTTAGGCTGAAGATGTGAGTATGGGTGTCAACAGTTGTGTCTAGATGGAAAAGAAAATCCAGGAGAGAACTCAAATACCAATGTGTATTGGAAGGGAAGAGGAGGAAGAATCCGAACTAGAAGAAGACTGAGGAGTGTCCACAAAGACAGGAAAAATATAAGATGTGTGTTCCAGAAGCTAAGTGAGAAAGACAGTGAGTGGGTTGACCTGATGCTTTGACTAAGTCAAGTAAGGGAAAGGCTTGGGGGCAGGGGTGTTGGAAGAGGTTGCATAAGATTTAACACAAGAGAGACTGGTGTTTTTGTCAGAAGTGCGTTGTGGTTTTTTTTTGTTTGTTTTTTTTTTTAAATATTTTTATTGATTTCAGAGAAGGATAGAGAGGGAGAGAGAGATAGAAACATAACAATAAGATTCATTGGCCAGCTGCCTCCTACATGCCCCACATTGGGGATCGAGCCTGCAAACCCTGATATGTTCCCTGACCGGGAATGAAACCCTGACCTGCTGGTTCACAGGTCCACACTCAACCACTGAGTACACCAGCTGGGCTGGCAGAAGCAATTTTATAAGAACTATTTGGGAAGAAGCCAGATTGTAGTCAGCTGAGGAGGGCGTATTAATAAAGAAGGATTCGGCTCTTAAAACTTTAAAGGGAACTTTGGATAGTACTACTATGGTAGCTTGAGCATTACTGCGATTATTCCTTTCCTCATTGGTCAGAAGTCTAAACTTACTTTAACTACTTATTGCTAGTATATTCATTTTTTTTTTTAACAGACAGTCCTGTGTAGAATTAGAGTTAATCAGAGAAAAATAAAATATCACAGGTAAGCAAATCAAACCCCTTTTTAGCAGCATTTTGAAAAATATGCAGGCCATTTAGCAGGTTAAGATCTTTTTATTTTCTTTGGGAAGAAGCTTATGAAATCAAGGAGATGATTTGAACTCTCCTTTTCATAAAATACCCAAGAGCCAGGTATACATTTGTTTCCTGAGCTGTAGGATTTTCACTGCTGACACTGAGCGAGTCCCTGGCAAACTGGATGATTGGTCTCCTTCCCCGACAATATCTTTGCCCTTCTCATAGACTAAAGCCTTTGACTTATAGGAGAGATTGAAAAAGAGATCCAGGTAAAATTTCATGTCCCTTCCACACGATTGCTTTTCCACTCCTGAAGGTCTGCCCCAAATGGGACACTTTCTCAAGATTCTCTCTCTCATCACTTTTTGTATCTGGTGGGATTTCTGGTGAAAGAATGCAAGGAAGTGCGGACTCCCTCAGTCCATCTGTAGGCCAGTGCCTTCCCATGTCCCCCAGCCCAAGCTCTGCCTTCCCCTGCCCCTTACTGTTCTAGTGGCACCTTAGGGTGTCTGGTTGCATGGATCCTAAGTAAGCAAGTGCTAAAGTCCCCTGTCCCCTCTGACCTTGCAGGTGCCTGCCTCTTTCTTCATTTAGGCCACGTTGTTTGCGCTGTGACTTCAGCTCTCTTACGGGTTTGGTTCGAAATAAGTCATGAATTTGAACTTGGTTTGACTTAGTTTCACTGTAAGGGTTGTGGATGGTGCTTTTTGTAGCTCTCTCCATCCCACAGTAGAAACTGGAACCTTGCGTCACAGAGTTTTAAGTACATAGAACATCATCTGGGAATTTTATGGAAATGCAGCTTCTGTTTCAGTGCGTTAGAGGTTCTGCATTTCTAACACGTTTCCAGGGATTTCAGTGTTGCAGGCCCAGGGATCCTGCCCTGAGTAGCAAGGTTCTAGCAGGTGGTTCTGCTTTCTGTTTCAAGGTGGGAAAGAGGCGAGGTCACACAGAAAAACGTAGGCACGCTTGAGTTGTGAAAGGGAACAGGCAAACAGATGTGAGAGTGATAATGTGAGATGTGGCACATTTGGTGAGCTGGCAGAAATGTATGTTTGTATGCGAGAAAGGTCTTAATGGTTTAAAAAATATTATCCTAGCTTTTTTTTCTTCTTCTTATCAAAGGGCTTCCTTAAAGACAGTAGAAAAAAAACGAATTGTTAATACTGATTTTATAGGTGTACAATGAGAACTTTTTAGTGTAATTGTGCTTTTCCCGCTTCATATTATTTCTTATGTTTTGAAACAATCTCAAATTTATAGAAAAGGTTTAAGTATGGTACAGTAAGCTCCCCCTCTATTCCCTCCCTCTCTTCCCCCCCCTCCTCACCCCCCCACACACAAATCACTTGAGAATATGTTGCTGACATGAAGCTGTATCATCCCTGTCACAGGTTAAGGTCTTATAGTCTCTGAGACAGAGATTAGCACAAGACATTTATTGGGGAATACAGTGTCCCAATAAATGGAAGCCTCAGCTGACCCTGTGGAGGCTTCTAGAGATGGGATGGCCCCTCAGTTGGGTAAGAAGTCTCTCTCCCTCTGTGAAACTGAGCTCTTGGGTGTGCACTGCCTTGGCAGGGGGCAGGGGGCAGGGCTGCCTGTGCGGTGGCATTCTTCAGCAGAGGCATCCTCCCAGAGGAGGGGTGTGGACACTGCTGCTGAACTGCTGCCATCAGACACTCCAGGCATGCAGCGGAGGAGGCCGGAGAAGGCGCTCTCGTGATGGACTAAGTGAGGAGGTTGTGATGAACAGGATGCCGATGTTCCAGAGGAAGTGACTCTGGTTCAAACTTCACCCTAACGGAGCTCTCGGAGATATTTGACGGCTTTGAGAATACACGGGATAAAATGTATAAGCTAACCCAAGCTCACAGAGTGTGGCAACTCCCGGGGCAGAGAGAAGCTGCGGGCTCTCCATCGTGAGGGATGTGAGCAGTGCTAGCTCTGTTCAAGCGGCCTTGGGGCATGTTCTCCACAAAGAGATGACAAAACACTTTAATTCAGTGTTTCTAAGGTTTTAAATCATGGCATACTAAATAAACTAGTTTTCTTATTCCCAAATTTTCCTTTACAATTGTCAGTAGACAAGTTTTTAAATGTTTTATTGTGATGTAGTTGACATTCACTGTATTAGTTTCAGATATACAAGATATTTGTATATATTGAAAAATGATCACTACAATAAATCTAGTCAACATCCGCCACCATACATAATTCCAAACTTTTTTTCCTTTGTGAGAGAGATTTCAATGTTTGGGAAAATTTTTTTTAAAGATCACAGAACAATTGTCATTTTCTCCATTGCTTATCACGATTTTGCAGTTTCAGCTTGCACTGTCATTTTAATGGTCCCACACAACTGTGCAAAGGGACAACTGCCTATATTCAAGCATGCTTCACTTTTTATTTACACTTATTTTATTTACTTTACCGCCTGAATACATTTTGATCTTTAAATATTTTTAGCATGCAGATTTCCCAAACCTGAGGTAGCCATTATGAAGACGGCGAAGAAGGTACCATCAGCAGAGGGCCCTGATAGTTTTGGTATAGTACAATCTTAACCATATTGATTGTTCTCTAGATGTTTATTGCAGAGAGCAAAGCATCTATTTAACAGAACTTCTTGACTTCTTGCTGGTTTGAAATAGCATGCTTTAGTTATAATGACAATTTTTTTTTCTGCATCATTTTGGACCACCTGCAAAATATTTTTTATTATCTAATCCTAGATTTTGTGGCTATGATAGAATAATAATTGCATGTTTAATTAACTGAAGGATTAAACTTATGGCCTTAACAAAAGACAAAATCTCTTATATTTAATTATATTTAAATAGTGTATTTTAAAAATTGTTGCAGTAACCCCCGGCAAGGGATGCATAACGAGCAGCAAAGATGAATGAGTAGGGAAAAGGACCACACAGGGAAACCTTCAGAATATTGTAAAGAGAAACTGTATTTAAATAACTGAACTTCAAGAAAATATATTTTAAAAATATATTCTTGTATAAGTTGGAAGCCTTAAATAATTTCACTTTAAGGCCATTCATGAACATTTTTTTTTTTTAAGTTCCAGTCTCCATATAGCTTGATATCTAATTTATGTTGCATTTTGTAGTGGTGGTGGTACTGGGAGAATTGTATTGAGTGTGTGTGTGTGTGTGTGTGTGTGTGTGTGTGTGTGTGGGAGAGAGAGAGAGAGAGAGAGAGAGAGAGAGAGAGAGAGAGAGAGAGAGAGAGAGAGGGAGAAAGATATCTCTGTTCCTATTTTATTTTTTATTACTATTTAATATAAATATACCAGAGGCCTGGTACACAAAATTCATGCGGGGGTGTCCCTCAGCCCAGCCTGCATCCTCTCCCATCTGGGACCTCTAAAGGGATCCCTCTCACAATCCAGGACTGCTGGCTCCCAACCGCTAGCCTGCCTGCCTGCCTGATTGCCTCTAACTGCTTCTGCCTGCCAGCCTGATCACCCCCTAACTGCTCCCCTGCAGGCCCGATTGCCCCTAACTGCCCTCCCCTGCAGGTCTGGTCACCCCTAACTGCCCTCCCCTACAGGTCTGGTCACCCCTAACTGCCCTCTCTTGCCAGCCTGGCCCCCCCCCCCAATTGCCCTCCCCTGCAGCCCTGGGTCCCCCTAACTGCCCTCCCCTTCTCCTCTGATTGCCCCCAACTGCCCTCCCCTGCTGGCCATCTTGTGGTGGCCATCTTTGACCACATGGGGCAGCCATCTTGTGTGTTGGAATAATGGTCAATTTGCATATTACTGCTTTATTATATAGGTTTGCCTAAGAAGTATAACACAGCATATAAAAAGGAATCAGAAATATTTTATGGACCAATTAAAATTTTAAAAGGATAAAGGGTAAATACAACTTTGTTTACTTAGGCTTTATAAGGGGTGGGCAAAATAGGCTTACAGTTATTAGTATAGGAAAAGACATACAAGTTAAATCAATGATTTAATACAATAAACTTTTTCACATACTGACAGTGTCTCACATATTCATATACAATTGATTGTTGGTTCTTCTATATTTTTATTGAGAGTTTACTTCTGAAAGGAAAATAGAAGAAGAGAATGAGAATACAGGATATGGACTTGACTGTGTGTCTTTGAGTTAAGTCACTTAACATCTCTGGGCTGAAGTGGCTGCATCTTCAAAGCAGAGAATTAAGTCAGTATTTCTCAGTGGGCATCCTAGCATTTGGGCTGGATAATTTTTCATTATAAAGGAATTTCTTGTGCATTATAGGATGTTTAGAATTCCTAATGCCAGTAGCATTTCCCAGTCATTATCACATCCAAAATATCTCTGTCTTTCTGAGCATTTTGTAGGATGATGACCAACCACCCCAAGTTGAGAATCACTCGGTGGGTGGATCTAAGAATCCTTTTACTGCTCACATTCTATAAAAGATTTATTTGGGGAATGATTCAAAGGGGAAAAGGTAATGTATTGACTGAAAAATCTCTGCTCATTCCTAGTATAAAGCAATTTTATTTATTTATTTGCTTGCATACTTACTTATTTTTGTTAATCCTCACCCAAGGATATTTTCCCATTAATTTTTAGGGAGAGTGGGAGAGAGAGGGAAAGACAGAAGGAAACATCCATGTGAGAGAAACATCGATTGGTTGCCTCCTGCATGAGCCCAGACCAGGGCCCAGGCTGGGGAGGAGCCTGCAACCAAGGTACATACCTTTGGCTGGAATCGAACACAGGATCCATAGGTCTGAAGGCCAATGCTCTATCCACTGAGCCAAACTGGCTAGGGCAAAGCAATTTTATTTTTAAATGAATATCTTCTGGGGCTCTATGTAACTATATCCATAGATATATCTACCACTTATGATATTCCAAGACGAATTATTAATTTGTCTTAACTCACTTTGTTTTATATCTATAATATACAAAATCCATAATTAAATAATTTTCTAAACTTATTGTAGTGATATCTCTATACCTAATAAGTTGCAACTTTTAAAAAGTTGTACTGTTTTAATATCTTAGTCTTTTAAAAAAAGGGATATCATTGTACATAGTAATCATTCTTTTTGCATTGGCCTGAGGAAGGGAAGGAATATAGCCTCCGTATATTAAGTGGTGTATGTAATTACCCCAAGTACACAAGTTAGACATGTAAAAGCAACCACTAATCAATAGTATGTTTGATTATCTTTTTATTTTGAAATTTTAAATATATTTTTATTGATTTCAGAGAGGAAGGGAGAGGGATGGAGAGATGGAAACATCAATGATTGATTGGCTGCCTCCTATACACCCCCTATTGCGGGGATGGAGCCCGAAATCCCAGCATGTGTCCTTGGCAGGAATTAAACCTGGGACCCTTTGCTCTATCCACTGAGCCAAAGGGCTATCTTAGATAAATAAATTATCATACCCCTAGTATTTACTGTAATTTCTTAGAAGTAAACAATTAACAGGTGAGTGTACTAATGAGGTTAGTAAAGGTGATGATTCATTGGGCATTATCACCAAATCATTACTACTGGGCAACTCCTGTTCTCTCAGCTGTCACACCGGGGTCTGCCTCAGCCCAGGGACTGGTTCCTTGTCCTTAAGTAAACTGGATTGCAGTCTAGGTTGCAGTGAAGCTCAAGGTCACATGATATGTACCCCAGACAGTTAATGAGATGACAGTATTATGTCATAGAAATTTCTTTACTCCATAATGTGCATGAAACTTTTAAATACCAAGTAAAATTCCAAAATTACACTCAAATTCTTTTTGGGGGGACCTTAGCTAAAGCATATATATTTTTAAAAATAATTTTTAAATCATTTTATAATTATAGTATTAATTTTAAAAGACAAAACCTGTTGATTGAAATTTAGTAAGTTAAAAAGTTAAGTTCCTTGCTATTTCTAAAGAGTATTTTCAGTTTTCAATGTCAGTTTTTATATTTCTTAAGCCATATTTACTTATTTTAAAATACTGCTGTGTAGCTTCATAAACCTCTTTCGGTGCATGACTTTTTTTTTGCATTTAATATGATTTGCTTAAATTGTTTTGCATACAGCATGATTTGTACTTCAAGTTTGTATTTTTTAATGTTATGTATTATGAATTTTGCGTTATCCATTGGAACTTTTGGTTCTATTAAAAGTCTAAGCAATTATTTATAATGTTCAGAAATTTAGCCCCCAAATTGTTTCTTAAACACAGTAGTTCTGTCTGTCTTTTTTATAAATCTCTTTTTAGGCCAAATAGTGATTTGTGTGGCCAAGTCACGCCTGTACTTTATTGGGAAAATGGTAGGGTAGGGCCTGGAGCAGATTGATTAGGTGATCAAAAGGTCAGAAAGTAGATAATTGGGCACTTAAAGAGTATTTGTTTTCTTGTAATTAAAGGACTAATGTGTGCATTAAACTATTCCTTTTATGTCCTTCAGGATGAAGTTGCTTTGGTATTTACTACATCTATTATAAATGATTTTGAATTTTCCCTTGATTTGTTATCTTATATTGATGTTTACTAACTTTTTCTTCTGTCACCTCCCTTTTGATTTTAAGCCTTTTCAATTAATTTTAAAATTTCAGATAATTTCTACTGGAGCATATTTTCATTTACGCCTTCAGTATAATTTTGAGTATAATTTTGTCTGCTCCTTCTAATCCTTAAGTTACTTATGATTGGTCTCCATCTATTGTTTTTCCTGAGACTGAGTCATGTTTTCCTGTTTCTTTGTGAAGTAATTTTGAATTGTACCTTAGTCATTGCTGTGATTATTGTGTTACAGAGACTCTGGATTCTGTTTTTTTATTTAAAATATAGGTTTTTAACATTTGTTGTAGCAGGCCACCAGTGGTTAGGCTTAAATTACAAGCTCTTGGGCTGCAGCTTAAATCTTTAGTTATTTTACCCTTAGCTAGGATTTATTTGGGTTTTCCCTGCCACATGTGTGTGGCTCATAGATCAGCCATATGCTGGAAAGAATGTAATAGAAGGTAGGACTCCTCCATTCTGACTGTTTTTTCCAGGATTTCCCTCTTACTTCCTGGTGGCTTTGGTTACTGTGTGCCCTGTTACTGCTTCTTCTGACCAGGAAGTGTGAACATATTAATAATAGCATTTAGTGGTCCTGCATGTTGTGAATTAAGGCATTCCCTTAGGCCAAAAGCTTCAACAAACAGGCAACTCAATACCATGCCTCCAGAATTCTGAGTGTTGATTCCTTTTCAGAATTAACCTATTTTTGGTCATTTTTCAATGCTTTCAATTGGTTATTTGTTTATATTGTATTTTAGCCTATTCTTTAGAATTGTTCTCCAGTGGTCGGCAAACTCATTAGTCAACAGAGCCAAATATCAACAGTACGATTGAAATTTCTCTTGAGAGCCAATTTTTTTTAAACTTAAACTTCTTCTAACGCTACTTCTTCAAAATAGACTCGCCCAGGCCATGGTATTTTGTGGAAGAGCCACAATCAAGGGGCCAAAGAGCTGCATGTGGCTCATGAGCCACAGTTTGCTGACCACGGTTCTAGGCAGAAGATTGGTCTGATAGAAGCTTATTCAGCCAGTGTTAGAAATAGGACTAGAATTTTTTAGGTAAAAATAGTTGGAAAATATGGTGTGTGGTAAAGTACAATCTTAAAGTCATATTATTTAAAAATATTCAGAAAAAGAATAGAAAAATTATGATGTATACTAGAAATTATGATGTAGAAATTTGTGCATGGGGAGAGATGGGGGGTGTCCCTCAGCACAGCCTGAGTGTTCCGCGCCCAGCCTGGTCAGAGGCACTTGCCTCCCTACCTGGGTGCAGAATACTTGTCTCGTCGCCATGGTGACGAAGCAAGCATTCCACCAGGCCCTCACACTGCCCACTCTCAGCCGCCACCCACCCCCAGGAGTGGGGGTTTGGGGGGGCCTGAGAGGACTGGGTGCCACCGTTTTGTGGTTATGGGTGCTGCCATCTCTGTGGTGGAGTGATGGTCAATTTGCATATTCCCTCTTTGTTAATACACACTGTAATGGAAAGAATTGTTTTTTCTGACTGCAAAGTCTGCTGCTGACTTTAGATTAGAATGCATTTCCAGTGTAAGTGTAGATAGTTTACCTACATCAGAAGGAACATATGTAGGGAAACCAAGCTTCTAGAGTTTATTGTAACGATTTTCAGGGAGGTTATATTAACAGCCATTGCATTTAAAAACCTATATATTTTGATGACACCTTGGATTTATTTTCAAGATTGAGTTCCGTTGCTACATCTAATGTTTTTTACTTCTGACATATATTTTGTTTTGATTTGGTTAATATAGTAAGCAAGATAACTTACAGTGTCAAAGTCCTCAAAATGATCAATTTATAATTAAAACATGTTTGGTGGCTACTTTCCATAAAATTTACATTTTGCATAAAATTTCCACTTTCTAGGAAATGATCCTTTCATATTTCCTCTTATTATTCCTTTGGTTCTTTGTGAAGCAGGAGGCAGAATCTGTGATTTGATTTTACACTCAACTCTGTGCCAGTGGTTTTCCTTTCTGCTCCATCTCCTTTACTTTACATGTCTTTAAAAAGATTATTTTTTCATTACCTTTAATTTTTTAATCCTTCTGGGTAGTCAGAAAAACTAGGGTACTATGTACATCATTTGCTTTTTTTTTTTTTTTCCCTACTGCTGCACATTATACCTTCACCTGGTCCTAAACCTTTGGAGATGCAAAATATTTTAAATATTTTGGTCAATGTGTAGGGAATTTGAAGAAGTAAAGGCAAGGACACTACATACTCTTAGCTGCTGGGAAGGTCCTGCTGGATGAATTTTTAGATGTTTCAAGAAGTTCTAGTCCACTGACAAGGACTTCACACAGTGTCAGACCTGGGGTCAGGGGTAGAGTAATGCAGCTAGCAAATACTTCTATTTACTTCACCAGAAAACTCTGTGGCCTACAGCGATATTCTACATTCCTTCTTAAAACATTTGGAAAACTAGTTGTATACCTTAAAGGTAAATTTTGCAATAATAGGGCAAATCAAAGTATAGAGAAAATATTTTAATCAACATAAAACTCTATACAGATTAGTATATTTTTATTTCTTAACCCTTCTAAAAGAGGGAAAATACAATATCTTAAAGTTGAATTCTTAGAACTTTCTGAATAATACAATAATTGATTAAACTCTAGGTTTTAGGGTATTTCTTATTATAAAGCCAGATGCTTTATATTATATGCTTTTTAAATAAAGTAACATTCACAAATATGAACCATACATTTTTATCTAGCTTATCTATGTATATTTAGTTCTCACATTGTCATAGATTATAAATAAATATTTTAGAAATTGTATATCCAGTTTGTAGTGTGTTTCATTGGAAAATCTGGTTGTATTAAATCATAGAGCAGAGTAATCCATGGTGTGGGCTCTTCTCTTTAAGTCATCGATTAATTTTGTGGGATTGGATGAGGATGAAGAAGGTAGAATTCTCTGCCATTTTACCATAGCCTATTCTTGTGCTTATATAAATGGTGAGGTGGATATTATTTTAAAATATATATTTTTACTGACTTCAGAGAGGAAGGGACAGGGAGAGAGAAATAGAAACATCAATGATGAGAGAGAATCATTGATCTATTGTCTCCTGCATGTTCCCCACTGGGGATCGAGTCTGACTGGGAATTGAACAATGACCTCCTGGTTCATAGGTTGACATTCAACCACTGAACCACACCAGCTGGGCCTGAGATAGTTATTATTATGAGATTAGATAGCTTGCTTTTTTGTAATTATTGTTAATTTTTAGATTTAATGGTGTCACTTGAAGATATTTACTTTGACATATACTTGGGAAAACCTTGTGTGTTTATTATGACATATATTATAAATAGTATATTGTTACTTGTTGAATAACTCCCTGCTCTTTTTTATTATGTAGGATATTCTATTGTATATTACCTGGTAGTATAGGTTTCAAAACTCAAAATATTTATTATATCATCACAGGAGATTAATTAAAGAACAGAACACAATCATTGTGGTAACATATTGCTTTAAAATATTATTTTACTGTTTTTAAAGGCTATTTAGGCCTATTCGAACATTCTTTTTCTTTAATATTTTTATTTTTCTTGATTTTAGGGAGGAAGGGAGAGGGTAGAGAGAGACAGAAACATCAATGATGAGAGAGAATCATTGATCGGCTGCCTTCTGCATGCCCCCTACTGGAGATTGAGCCTGAAACCCAGGCATGTGCCCTTGACCCGAATCGAACCTGGGACCCTGCAGTCTGCAGGCCATGCTCTAGCCACTGAGCCAAACCCGCTAGGGCTGAACAGTCATTTTTCCAGTATCAATGCTCATTTGCATATAAATATCTTAAATTACCTAGGATTACCATCTTTAAGAAGGGTAGCTATATTTTTGGGGAAAAAAATGTTTTTTATTGATACTTAGAGAAAGGGAGAGGGAGAGAGAGGGGGAAACATTGATGTGAGAGAGAAACATCAGTTTGCTGTCTCTCACACGCACCCCTACTGGGGACCCTGTCTGGACTGAGTCCGCGACCTGGGCACGTACTCTGAACGGAACTGAACCTTTTGGTGCACAGGACGGTGCTCACCCAACTGAGCCTATGGGCCAGGGTTATTTATTTATTTATTTTTTAAAATATATTTTATTGATTTTACACAGAGAGGAATTGAGAGGGACAGAGAGTTAGAAACATCGATGAGAGAGAGTCATCGATCAGCTGCCTCTTGCACACCCCTCACTGGGGATGTGCCCGCAACCAAGGTACATGCCCTTGACCGGAATCGAACCCGGGACCGCAGGCCGACGCTCTATCCACTGAGCCAAACCGGTCCCGGCATGGGCCAGGGTTATTTTTGAAATGTTGAAAACTGCAATGAATGCAAACAGGCTTGTTACAAGGACTTAAAAAACAAACAAACAACCCCTTCCCCCCCCCCCCCCAATCAAATTATTTATTCAGGGTTATAGACTCCATGACAGGCTTGTAACTATAATAAAACTCAGTTTTGTTTTCCAACCTTGTGTTAAATCCATACTAAGTAACATTTTCTGAATAGCTAATTTAGGTCCATTGACAGAAAGATAATTTATGAATAAACTCTGATATTTTCCGAGCTTTGTAAGTCTGCTGGTGTTTGCTTCATTGTAACAATAATAATAAATAAAAAAAGAGGTCATGCCATCGTCACTAATTCTTGCCCCGCCCCCTTTTCCTCCCCTTCAGAAAAGTTGGAAGCTGCGCCGCCCACCCGGGAGCAGCTGAGATACGGTAACGGTTCTATCATTGTTCAATAGTGTGCACCTGTATCTGGGCCGTGAGACCACTGTATCATTTATTGGTAGTACCAGAGTCAATACATTCAGTCTTTCTAGACAGAGTGAGTTTTCCTATGTAGTATGCCAAAGCAAAAAATTTATAAACTCAGTTTAAGACATTTCTTTTTTTTTAATTTTAAATATTTTATTGATTTTGTACAGAGAGGAAGGGAGAGAGATAGAGAGCCAGAAACATCGATGAGAGAGAGTCATTGATCAGCTGCCTCTTGCACAACCCCTTCCAGGGATATGCCCGCAATCAAGGCACATGCCCTCGACCGGAATCTAACCAGGGACCCTTCAGTCTCCAAGCCGACGCTCTATCCATTGAGCCAAACCGGTCTCGGCAGTTTAAGACATTTCTAATATTGTTAACCATATCTATTATTGCTTACAAGTGTTACCATCTAGAAATAGAAAAAATGAGGCTAAATGTATAAAAAACATATAGGTATTAGTTCTTTCTAGTTACATCTCTGTCATCTCAGATTATTCAGATCATGTATTAGATAGATGAGGTAAGGTGTGCCTTTGGTAGGAGGAAACCAAGTTACATTTTGATTTAAGTAGAATGGTGTTTTTTTTTTGTGTGTTTTTTTTTAATAGTTTGTGAAAGCATTCAGGGATACTGAAGTATTGTGCAGGGGGAAAAGATTTCTGAATGTAAATGTCTAATATAGATGAAATAATCACATTTTCCTCACATTTGTTTAAAATAATTATTTAAAAAAAATAATTATTTAGTGAGTAAAAGTGACCAAACAGCTTCCCTAAAATTTGATTCAGGGAATTTATTATTTCTAATGTGGAGATCAATTTTATGGTATCACTCTTTAGGTATAAGAGAGAAACAGATTGATGTCAATATCAATTGAACGGGAAAAACATGGTATTCATAATATGTATTTACTTACTTGTTCTGCTGTTAACTGTATATACTATTTCTTTGTATGTGTTGCCAGTAAGAAAACACAAAAGCCTAACACAATTGTTTTTACATGTTATGAATTTTTTATTTTTTAATTTTTTTCTCAGTATAGCTTCTACTAAGTAGCTAAACTTATAGTAGGAATAGAATCTTTTGGCTATGTGGAATGGCAAGCAAATTCCAAAGCTTATTGAGGAGACTTTAATTATATGGTCTATTTTTGTCATTTTAAAATTATAGAAATCTTAAAATAAATGTTTCTGTTTTTGATGTTTTTCAGTATTCATCCACAATGCGATACCTTTCGTAGGGTTTGGCTTTTTGGATAATGCAATTATGATTGTTGCAGTAAGTTCTTTCTCTTATCCCTTCTGTTTTGAGCTAATAAAGAAATTTAGGTGGTCTAAATTTTTCTAATAATTTGCATATTATAGCTGTAAAGTTTTAATTAACATAATGAATGAAGCTTTTTTTTTTTTTTTTTACTATGTTTTATGATAATTAGACTTGATTTTCTAGCTCAATTTTAAAGCAACATGTATGTTAATCATTATGACTTTTGGTAAAGCATTGACAATAATAAACACATATTTATTGAGCCTATATTATTCTGTTCTGATTTCAACATTCATATTAAAGAAAAATGTATGTAAAATTTTCTTATGTGTTTTCACAGTTCACATCACATGTATGTTATTTTATTAGTTCCTTGTTCAATTTTTGCATGCAGAAATGTTGTGGTTTATTTACTTATTTATTTATTTAATTTATTGTTTTGATTAATCCTCACTGGAGGATATTTTTTCCATTTATTTGTTTGTTTGTTTGTTTGTTTGTTTTTTTCAGGGAGAGAGTAGAAGGGGAAGGAAAGGGGACAGAGAGAGAAACAGCAATGTGAGAGAGCCACGTCAATTGGTTGCCTCCAGCAGGCACCCCACCTGGGGTAGGGAACTTGAAACTCAGGTACTTGCTCTTGATCAGAATTGAGGCCCCCAAACCCTTTGGTTCAGGGGCCTGTGAATATATAGCCCTTCGGCCTTTGTTCGATTGTAATGGGTAAAAAAGAATTTTCCTTTGCCGTGGTCATTTTGAGGTAAGGGTGCTCTTTAAAAGTCTCAGGAATGGCCGATTTATTTTTTTACTGTTTTGTGACACCTTTTGTTAGTGGATGCCAGTACTGAGTTCAGATTCTAAAGTCAGAAATAACTCCATGATTAAATGCAACTATTTTGAAACTACCAAAGTGCTCTATCCTGATTTCTCTTCACTGACTCTAACTTCAATAAAAATCTATAAATTTTAGCTTTGTGTTGGAGACTTAAAAAAAGGTAACTGTTTTTGGATTATTGAGTATGAGAAAAATACATGTGAGAGATACAAGGTTTATTTTTGTTTGTGGGTTTGGTAGGTCACATGTCCTACTACATGTAGACATAAATAGAACATTTGTTTTCAAAATCAGGATAAAAGGATAATTTACACTGCAGATTACAAAATTTGCTTAGAGAATATCTAAAATTGGTTCATTCAAGAATTCTTTTTTTCTTTTGCTATATAGTCTCATTTTATGTCCAAATTCATGGAAATGAGATATCCAAAAAGTCTAGCCGTTGCCCTGGTTGGGGGTCCTAACAGGGCTCACACAGCTGAAGGTATCCTGCTTCGTAAATAGTCACAGAAGACACTCTGACATGCACACAGCTTGTAGGTGATAACACCCATTGGATAATTCCTTCGCAGAGTATTCTGGCAATAGCTTCTAAAATATAATTTCAAAATGCTAGTTTTTACTGATCTTAACATTTTCCTAATATGTACATAAGAACCAAATTGGCCAGTTTATATGTCTATGAATGTGCGATACTCAGCCATTTAGAACTACGCTGTCTTTTTGAAATTACTAAAATCTGAGTTGGTTAGATTATTTAAATAGTTAATGTAAGTCAAATATAATTGTAATGAAAACCTCATTTTTATGAATTTATAAGCTACTAGAGACCCAGTGCACAAAATCTGTACATGGTTTGGGTCCCTAGGCCTGGCCTGCAATCAGGGCCTATTGGGGCCTTCCGGCTGCTGGCCAGGACCTCCTTTTGCTTTGCACCGCCCCCTGGTGGTTAGTGCACATCATAGCAAGCAACTGAACTCCCATTCAAACTTCGGATGGGACAATTTGCACATTAGGCTTTTATATATATAGATAGTTAATATGTTTCTAGAATAGATTGTCTGAAGTAAAGTCTTTCTGTGGCAAATATTTCTTTCAATTTTACATGACTCAGTCTTTTAGATTCTTTTTATTAACAGCTACTAGCCCCCCTACTGCCGTCCTAATAATAATTTTTTTCATCTCAGTAGAGCAGACCTTAGATATTCAAATACTGAAAGACTAACCTCACTACAGTGAAGTGTTGAGATTACATATTTTGCATAAAGGGCCTAAGGAGATTTTTAAGAGAGATCAGAATAGGAAAACTGGGTAGTTTTTAGATCCTGAATAAGACCTTCCCCATAGGTCTTATTATTTCTTTGATATAAGTATCTAAAGTAATATATATCTGTGATTAAATAGAGATACCAACAAAACAAAACACCCACATTCTAGAGTCAAATTACTGTACTAATGTTCACTGTTTAGTGTGACTCAGGCCTGCATCTCATTAGAGGTATAAGTGAGAGTGTCCTATTTTTGCAGGCCGCAGATGGCTCAGTAATTTAGTATTGTTTGTTTTTCTAGTTTACATTGAAATCCACTTTCAGGGACTTAATTACCAGGTTATCACTTGTATAATACTAAAATAAATATTGAAATCACTGGCTTCAATACCTGATTGAGAGTAATAGGTATGGCAAAAAAATAATTGTGATAATTGCAAACTACTTCAGGGACAGTGAAGTTTTCCAAAGAGGTTCTGTAATACACTGCTGAGATTAAAATTCATAAGTAATGTAACTATAGAATCTGTGCAAAGGGAAACGGTGATCATTATTATCATAAGAATTTTTTTTAATGTGTTTTTCTTGTTGAGAGTAACTACAGATGTTCCCCCTTTTTCCTCACTGTCCCCCTCTACTTGGCTCCCGCCCTACCTCCATGAGAATTTTTTTTTTTTTTTACCTTTTTTTAAAAAACACTGATTGCCTCCTAACATTGTGGGACAGCTGTGTCTGTTTTAAGATATTAGGTTGAGCAGATCTTTGATTCTGCTTTTCTATCATGCCATAGACATTTGATTCTGTTCTTCTAGGTGTACTCTCTGGGCTGCTGCTGGCCTTGTTGTAATTAATAAAAATTTTATAACTTCATATATAACTTCTTGGAATAGATTTGACCTTTATTGTTGACTGCTAATCATACTAAGGTTTTGGTTTTATAGCTCTGTATTCTCTTTTTATGTTATTGGGATTGCTTTTGTAACCTAGTGGGTTTGGGGATTATTTTTTTTCTTGCAATTTAACTAATATAACATTTATTAGAATTCTAGAGTAGATTAATTTTATTCAGGCGATGAACCAAGTATAACATTTAAGACAACTAGTATTAAATTTGTTTGCGATTTCCAACTCACCTGTTAACATGAAATTTGATGTAACTATGGGGGGAAAAAGCATGGATAATCTATTGCCTTCAAACTGAGGCTTTTTATGCTGTAAAAAGGACCTTCAGTTTCCTTAAATTTTAATTAAATACTTGTTCAATACATGTCTTGCAAACAGATTCTTCTTGGGTCATTGCTATTAAGGATGCATTTTTTATTTTCCATACTTCGAAACTGTCAGGTGCCTCTCTTGTATATCAAAGCCCCAGTGTTGGTGTTGTTTGTGTCCATCTATAAAGATACACATCTTTTTTCTTTGTGCCTGTTCTTTTTTTTTCTTCCCTTCTTCGGAAATCTCTTTCTTTGGATACCTCTACAACCTTGTAATTTTAAGTGCCTGGGAGACTTTTTAGCTGTTTTCCATAGTCTACAAGAATTGATATTAAAGATTAGGTGGGACCAAAAGGCTGGGGAAAGAAAATTGAGGAAAACTTAACTCAGCTTCTCTTTAGTTTTAGAAATAATTGATTAATGCAATATCTCTACATACCTGATAGGGCATTCTCTTTTTTCTCCACAAACGTCATGGAGATTTTTTTTTTTTTTTTTTTTTTAATGTTCAAGCATTAGTGTTCAAGAGGGTTTTTGAAAAGTATGTGCGTTTATGGCAGCCTTGCCCAAGGACTGGGACTGAGCTAGCATCACAGCGTCTAGAATTTCTAATTTAGTCTATGTAATAACCCATTAGAATAGCTTCATCTTCTTCACCTCAGTTCCTTCTCTTTAAAGTAGAAATAAAAATGTGAAGTCCCCTTTTCTCCAGAGGAGTGAGAGAGATGTGTAGAGAGTCTTAAACTCCTCACTAAATAAATGTGGTGGAAATACAACAGAGCTGCATTTTTGCTTTAGCTCTATTGTATCAAATGTTGCTATTACTTATAAATGAATCAGATGTTCCCAGTACTTAATGGATAAAGAACTAAGTGTTCTAAGGGTAATTTTTGAGGTTTATGATACTTTGGGTTCCTAGAAACTGGTTTAGTCTGGCTTTTTAATCTTTTGTAGGATAAATAACAACAGTATAGGTCTAGCATTCAGAATTTAAAATGTAGGTGAATTTGTCGACTTTGTGCTCAAAGAGCTTTAAAGCACCTTCTTCTGTGATAAGAAAATATAAATCTTAGATTCTTAATGATGAATTATATTATATATGTGTTGGTATTTTTTATTTTTCCAGAAACCTAATTTTAATGAAGAAATATTGATATTATTTCTGCATATTGCATATCCATAGTAATTAAGTGAATTACTGCATTATATATGCATATTTCTGCATATTTTTATAATTTTGCTGCAATAACATGTTTGACTACCTTACCTGTTTTTAGTAATGCTTTTCTATTCTTTTATAGTCACTAGAGCTTTAATATTTTAAGATTAATTTTTTGTAATCATTTTTCAGGGAACCCATATTGAGATGTCTATTGGAATTATTTTGGGAATTTCAACTATGGCAGGTATTTAATAATAATAATATTTTATTATCCGTATATTTAAAAAACATTCCAGTAGGTTAAGTATAGAAGGGGATAATTTATTTGAATGAATTTACTCATTGAAATGTCTGCTAGTTTATCTCCTAAGTCCTATTCCTTTAATTATTAATTTTGTGTACATAATACTATTTTTTTTCTGAGAAATTTTGGGTACAGTATGTTAGTTAATGTGTAACAATAATCTACTACATTGACTATGTTAATAAAAAGTTTTTCTTTTAGTTACTGGTCACCCTAAAACCTTTCCACCCCTTTTCTCTATTAAATTATTTATTTTCAAGTTGGGTAGAAAAATCAAAGAAGGAAATACAAGATGGAAAATTTAATTTGGTTCTATCTTGTGCTTTTCCCGCAATTAACACTGTTCTTCATGATGGTGAAATCTGGGGATAGTTCTGTGTTCTGTGTGTTGTATGGAACATATAAGTAGATGAATTAATGTAAGAGACATTTCTTTCCTTGATTTTCTGGAATTTCAGAGTTGTACATATGGCTTTACTTTTTCCCAAATATCCAAATTCCCTTTATAAAATATTATCCGAAAGTTACAACTACAAAATATTGCAACATGATTTAATATTGAATCCAAAATGGAAAGTGGCTGCCATAATAGGAAAGAGCCTTGCTCCTTGGTGAAGGGAGAATACGGGAACCTCAGGAGAATTGTGCTTGATATGAAAGCTTGAGATTCAGAGCTATGCAACGAGGTTACTTTGGATACAGTTGTTCCTGTTTGAGAAATGTGGTAATGCTTCCAGACCAGTGCTTTGTTAATTAGTGATGTATTATAATGCTTTTTATGACTTCCATGTGACAATTTATGTGTCCATTTCTTACTTTTTTAGCTGCTGCTTTGGGAAATCTTGTGTCAGATTTAGCTGGTCTTGGGTAGGTCCATATATTTATTCATTTGTGCATGTCTTTACTTGCTCTCTTTCTCTTCTCCATTATCCTGTAATTGGAGAAGGCTAAAATTAAAAAAATTAAAAAAAAGACTTTTATTTGTGTTTCTGTTTTAGAGCTAAATTTTAAAATTTCTAAATCAGTAGTACTAAATCTTTGGTGGGCATCAAATATTAATGACTGGGTCACACCCAGTCATACGTAATGAGTGTTTCTTGGGATGGGGCCTTGACATTTGTGTTTAATAATCTCAAGAAATTCTGACATATACAAAAATTTTTCTAAAGCTATCTTAATGTAAGCAGAGCTAATTATTTATATGTATGTATTTTATAGACATTTCCAAGGCTGAGACAGGATTAAAAGAACCCCTATCATTATTCCACCCCAGCCTCTTCCCACTAAGCCCCTAAGTAAAAGATGTGGCTCAAAGGTGAGGCTGCTGACGGGGCATGTTTTTTTCTAGAGAGAGGGACTTCTAGATGGGTAATGGCCAAAGCATCCATGTGTTTGCTTTCTTTACTCCCCGTGGCAGGGATGATGAAACACACTGAGGAGGTCTACTTAGAAAGACCGATTTTCTCTCTATTTTACACTCTCACTTTCAAGTGGCAAATGGGCTGGGCTGCCGCCTGAGCGTGGGGAAGCTTGGGAACTAGACATTAGGCTAAGATGGCATTAATTATAGTGATAAACATACCCTTGTACTCAGTCTTGGGTTTTGTCTCCTCCTTCCTTGGTTCATTGGATTGGTAAGTTTTGGAATTTGGATTTGAGGCTGATAGAACTCTCCTTAGCCCTACAGTCTAAGGCAGCTTTATAATGGGTCTGAGCCTACATGTTAGACGTTTGCACTGGAGTTGGGGCCATAGCTACAGGTGAAAACAGAGTTTCTTTACTTTGGGCCCTAGGCAAAAATTTTTACATTCCTAGAATTTCTGTCATAAATCCATAATGATATCATCCTTCAAACATTACATTTCCCCGTTCCCAATACTAAGGTTAGTAATGGTATTGTAGCTGCAATGATAACTTTCTATGTAGAACTAAGTGATCTAATAGATTGTAAGGCTGTTTTAGATTGCAACATAAAACAATTATTTTTTTTGTTAAAGATAAAGATTTTGTTGGGAGACTTTATATTTAAGAACTATTTCTTCTTTGCCTTTAAGAAAATATCACTGAATAACAAACACCACATTTTTAGATGCACAGTTTGTTTAGATTTAACATGTCTGACATCGGGATCCATCTCATAATCAGTGGTATGCATAGTTTAATTGGCATTTTCCCCCTCACAGTTCATAAAGTAAGATAGTATCCAATAAGTGAAGGTAAATTAGAATTGATAAACACTTGAAATTGTTATGAAAATTCTAGGCTGCTTTTCTTATTATATCTATCTGATAAATTTGGAGATTTTTGCTTTTTGACAACAGTTAATTTATATCATGTTAAAGTGCTTTACTTGGAATGTAGAATAAGTGCATAAATTGAAATTGTTGTAAAAAGTTTCCTATACCTTGAATTAGTCTTTTAAAAGTAATGGTAGAGAATAAGTTTGCTAAATCAATTAATTTACCTATGTATTAAATATAGTAATATGAAAATGGTTTTAAACTGGATATATTTATATTTGCACAAAAATGTTTCTGAACATGTTTACACCATTTCTAGAGTGCCAGTTAATTACAGGTATAAACTATCTTGTTTTTCTTTGTGTTAATTCAGTTTTTACTACCCGAGAACATTTGTATTTGTCTTTAACAACTTATATTCTGTCCTCGTGTTTTTTTTTAAAGACTTGCAGGCTACGTCGAAGCTTTGGCTGCCAGGTTAGGCCTGTCAATTCCTGATCTCACACCAAAGCAAGTTGACATGTGGCAAACGCGTGTTAGTACACATTTGGTAAGTACATTACATGGCTTGTGAAAATTGATTTTTCTAGCCAGAGCAAGTTCATTCCCTTGAGAAATCTGAGACTAAAATTGATTTGAGTGGAGTCGTTAACACAAATTGTCCAAGGCTTGGCAATTTTCAGAGGAAGAATATTTTTTTTATTGACTTCATATTTTATAGGTGTACTTCATTTTAAAAAAATCTTCATATGATTCAGTTAATCTTAAGGAATCAATTATGTGCTAGACATAAAATGAATATAGTTCTCTTGAGGATTGTTTAGGTAGAGAACCAGACATTTAAACAAATTATAATTTAGTGTGACATATGCAGTAATGGAACTATAAATTGGATATAGCAATAGCACAAGTACAAGAATTAATACTTGGTGGGGAAAAGTTTCTTTTCATGGGGAGATTTTTTTGGTGATTATTAGATCTAAGCTGATTTAAAAAAATTATTGATGAGACATTTACTAAGTGAACAGGAGAATTCCAAGTATATTGACTAGCAAGTAGAAAAGCATGATAAAAACAGGGTGTGTTAAAAAAAAATACAAGAGATTAGTAATTGCTGGGATATGCTATGTAGTAGTTGTACTCAAAGCAATAATGGAAAACAACATTGGAGATGTAAGAATGGATCATTCAGAAAAGGCATTTTTCTGTCGATGTATAAACTGTGCCAAGGAGCTTGAACCTCATACCCAGGTGATGGAGTCCTATTTTAAATAGGAAAGATACTGGATGGATGTTACCAGTTAAGAGGAGGAGGAAGAATAACTTTTGAAAGGGAAGAGAATGAGCTCTATTTTGGACACATTGAATTTGAGATGCTAGTATAACACTCAAATGGTGATACCAAGTAGGCATTTGGATTAAAGGTCAAGAGTTGGAGAGGTTTGAATTAGAGATGGTGGGTGTAATCATTCACCCATTAATTCAACAAATATTGATTGTTTACCTGTTATATGCAGAACACAGACCTAGGAGCTTTGAATATTAATATATTGGTTAACAAAACAAGATCTTTTTTTTCTGGTGGATCTTATGTTCTAGCAGCATGAGGAGAGAGAAACAATTTAAAAACCTGATAAGCAAAATATTTAGAATATTAGAAGTTCGCAGTATTGTGGGAAATTAAAGAGAAAAAGAAAGCTAAGCAGAGTAAAAGAGGTTGGGAGTGCTGGAATGGAGATAGATTACAGGCCACACTGAACAGGCCTGCGATGGAGAAAGCCAGGGGAGAAGGGGCTGCACACGGCAGTGGTTCTCTAAGTGCGATGGCAGGACCAGCAGAACCAGCAGGACCAACATTACTGGGAACTGGTTAGATATGCAAATTCACAGGCTCCACCTTACACCTGTCGCTGCATAAAAAATTATGTGTGTATGTGTGTCCGTATCCTGCAATTTGTAGATGAATTGAAGTGGATTAGTTAGCTAATATCAATCAGCCAGAGCTGTTGAGGAATAAGGATATTCTAACATTGTAGGAATATAACAGTTGGGATCAAGATAAGATTATTTCCTGGGGCCTTCTCTTCTGACATAATTGATAATTCTGTTTTCTTTCTACATTATGTAAGAGCAGGTCCATTTCCCCCTTCTATAAAAAAAGCATGTCAAATATTAAATTGTCATATATATACTTATATGCATGTTTATTGATAAAACCCCATAAGCATATGGATTCTGTTCTTTAGTTGTTGGCTCTGCTTGCTACGTCTTAGGGTCAAATCTTCTATTCTGTAACATAACATTTGGTTATAAACGACCGGTAGTGGTTGAAGTTAGTGATCAGCTATCTAGTTATAACATATGCTAACTCTGAAATTTACCTGTAGTAGAATATATGCCAGTACATATGTAGTTTCTAACTGACATTTGTTGTATTTTAAAGCCTCATTTGTAATTTGGAACTCTGAAAATATTTTCTTGCATAGCATAACAGATATACTCAAGTCCTCGGTTAGCTCCAGTATAAGTAACTATAGGGCCTAATATAAGACCCAATTATCCTATATAATAAAAGCCTAATATGCTAAGTGTCTGACCATTCATTTGAGCATTTGACCAGTCACTATGACAAGCACTGACCACCAGAAGGCAGATGCTCTGACCGGTAAGTTAGCTTGCTGCTGGGGTCTGGCCAATTGGGATTGGGCGAGACAGTCCTGACATGTTCTGGAGCCCTCCCACCATCCCTTTGTGCACAGTGGGGTCCCTCAGCCTGGCCTGTGCCCTCTCGAAATCTGTGACCCCTTGGGGGATGTCAGAGATCCGGTTTTGGCCTGATCCCCATAGGCCAGGCCAAGGGACCCCCACAGGTGCACGAATCAATGCACTGGACCTCTAGTAATATATTATATAAGTGACTACTCTTATGATGGAAAAATATGGCCCTCACTGGTTGGCTCTAGCTAGTTTGGCTCTGTGGTTATAGCATTGACCTGTGGACTGAAGGGTCACAGGTTTGATTTGGGTCAAGGGCAAGTACCTTGGTTGCAGGCTCGATCCCCAAGCAGGAGGCAACCACTGGTTTCTCTTTTGCATCAAAATTTCTGTGTGTCTCTTGCACTTTCTTCCACTCTCTCCAAAAATTAATGGGAGAGAAAAAATGTCCTCGGTTGAGGATTAACCATATATATGTTTCAGGGTCTGGATCAGGGAGCTAGAAAAGGAAGGCTATCCCATTTCCTTCCTCCTTCTCTACCCTATTGACTTTATGCCCCATTGAGAAAATTGTGTTGGAACTCACTGCCTGGCATTCCTAAAGTGAGGGCGGAGAAAGCCGTGGTTTTCATGGATGACAGTAATGGGAATTCTAACATTTTGGGTGGGAAGTGGAGTCTGTTAGCAACAGTCATTTCATATAAATGGGGAAGTCAGGAATCTAATATAGTCTCTGTAAATATATATAAATAAATACAAACATTATCTAAGGTCAAAATAAGAATCTAGGTGTGGATTTTTCTTATCTTCTGACATTAACATATATGTACAATATTTAATGAGTGTTTTCTACTTGAATATTTCTTTGATGTTATTTTTATGGCAATTTGATAAAAGAAAAATTTCCTTGTTGCTTTGATCTCTAAATATCATTTGTTCTAGAATATTTTTGTAGCCTATTTTTAGGCTACAAACATGACTCATGAATTGAATTTTATAGTTCATAGTAATTGTTTATCATAGATATTTAAGCAGGTCTTCCTCTCACAGCGATAAAATAACTTTCAAAAATGTTTTGTTTTGTTTCCTCAGGGCAAAGCTGTTGGGGTGACTATTGGCTGCATTCTAGGAATGTTTCCTTTGATTTTCTTGGGAGTAGGTGAAGAAGATGAAAAACTGGAAAAGAAAAATTAACCCTCGTAGAGTACCTAGAAAAAGATGTAAACTAATGTACCTCAACGATTAAATATGCTGTCACCACATTTAGGAATTAAGACAGTAACAGTGTATAGATACGGGATCAAATAATTCAGCATGTATTATGGAAAAACACTAACTTATTGTGGCTTGGTTTTCTTAGGACATCTTTTTAAAAAGAACTGTTTAGTATCATTTCGTGTAAATTGTTGAAATCAACAACAGTCAACATTTTATCTTTTCCCTCTCTTTCTTTATATATCCAAATATCATTTATCAGTCATTGATGTATTGTCCTGACTTGGGGTTTGCTTATTTGTTATATAATGTGTATATGCATGAAAACATTTTCTGTTATTGTGTTCCCTAGAGTTACAATTCAACCTTAAGATTTTTCCAAATTACATGAGATGTTTATTGTCAGTTGAAGATTTTTTACTCACTTTCTGACATCAATTTTGTACTGTTTCACAGTAAACATTCATAATCATATAATTTCAGTCACTTTTATTTACTCCCACATCTATTCAAAGCAGACGCAGACTTTTAAGTATTTTAAGTTTTTGTTATTCATTCTAATTTCTTGTGTCAAGTGCCAGAGGTCAATCAGAATGAACAATTATGTGGTCTTTGTACTACATGAAACCACATATCTTAAGTATATTATTTTGAATGGATTGTTTTACTTTTCATTTCTCAATTTTGCATCATTATGTGATGGTTTTTGACTCTTGAGAGAAAGAAAGTTATTATTGTGGGTTCTTTTCAACGGTGATTATGGGATTAGAGTGAACTAAGGGGTTTGACCCGACACTTGAAAATTAAGAGGCTAAACAATTTTTTTTAGAAAAATGGAAACTGGGAACTGCCCAGGTTTGTGGAATAAGCGGTGAAGCGGAAAGGATGTTTGTAAGGTTAATGAGATGGAAATTATATCGCACAGGAAAGACTTGTTCCCTCCAAAATGTCTTTTCATCTGAATTAAATGAGTCTGAGTACTTCTTATTCACAATCTTGATGTTATATCTTATTTAATGAATTTTACTTCTGGATAACTTCTTTTGAGGCGAAAAATATTATGTATATATACACACACATATAAATGTATATGTATATTTTTAAATTTATTTCTGAGAGGAAGGGAAAGGGAGAGAGAGAGAGAGAAACATCAGTATTGAGAGAGAATGTTTGATCGCTGCCTCCTGAATGCTCCCCTACTGGGGATCAAGTGCAACCCTGGGCATGTGCTGTGCCTGGGAATCAAACCATGACCTCTTGCTTTACAGGTCGATGCTCAACCAGTGCGCTACACTGGTCACGTAAAAATATTTTATATTTCGCTCTTTGCTACATATAGTCTAATAGTCAAAAGTTACATGAGTTGAAATCTTTTTTTTCTTTTTGGTCTTTTTTTCTTCTTTTGTGGTATTTAAATCAGATTCTAGGTTGAAGTTGTTTTTTCCAATCTTGTATATCTGACTTAAATATAACCATGTAGAAATCATAAGTTTTAATTTTATGAACTCTTAAAGTTTGTGAGCATGTGGCCTGTTACACATGCTTAAAAAAACACATACACATCATGGAGGAGAAAAACTGAAATTAGAATGACTATCTGGGCCGCTGAAATTATTAAAATTGGTAAATAGGTGCAAAAGAAGGGAAACTTATAAGATGGCTGTATTTACAGCTATAATTTATTTTAAAAGTTTATTTGCAAATACGTACTTTGAACTCTTTTTTACAAAGGAACTGACTTTCCCCACAAGACAATTTATCATAATTTTGCTTCTGTGCACTTCAAAATAATTTAGTGCTATCCTTTAATCATAGATTTTAGAAGGAAAAGCATAAATCAAACAATGAAAAGATAAACATATATCATTCTTATTGTGTATAAATAGTGTGACAGTCTCTTTTGATCAAATTAGAATAGAACTTGATATCTTAAACAGAATTGTGGTTTGTATCTTTCACATAATACCATATACACACCCCAAATTTTTTTCCTCTTTTTATTATTTCAGGTGAGAGGAATAGAGTGCTTATTAAAAAAATTTTTTTTGGTAAATATTTATGTGCTTTTGTCCCTAATTTGTATATTTCCAGTCCTTTTCGTTTTCTAAAAAAGCATATTATTGTGGTGCTTAAAATTTTCTTTATTAATTAAATCCCATATCCAGAAACTGCCTGTGAGTTTAGAAAGGGCTTTTGCTTACTGTTGTGTGATTTTCTTCCTGTTGACAATAGCCCAGTCCTACAGAATCTTTCAGTTTAGCTGAATGTCTGCAAGGTTACTTAAGGTGTCAAAATATGTAACATAAAATCCTCATATTGAAAGACATTTTAATTTATGGACACAATAAAAATTTGCATCTTTCAGGTAATTAATTACTTTTCCAAAAATGGCACCTTTTTGTCAACCTAAATACACATTTTTCCAAATCTTTGTGTTCTGCACAAAGTGATTTCTGAGAAATGGTTTCCTTTAAGATACATAATTACTTTATGTAACCATTTTATGTTACTTGTTACAAAGAACCTTATTTCAGATTGAAACTGGAATTCTTATTTCTCATGTTAGTTATTTCCTTATTGGGAGCACCATAACTGTGGGTAAATGCAACATGAGCTACTTTTTTTAGTACTGTCTGTTTAAAATTCATATTGTCCATGTATTATGATTTATTGACTTCTTGATGCATGTAAATTGGGTGGATTTTGTTGCCACTGTATGTTAAATGGTGACCAATGTTTCTACAAAAGAATTGAACAAGAAACATCTTTTAAGAAATTTGAAATGTGGTTTTGACTTTTAAATTTGATTTTCTTCCTAATCTCAGAAGACCTTGGTTATTATATCGCTAAAGGAAGTAGGATTAATAGATGTAGATTCGTTGCAGGGTTGTAGCAGTGTCGCTAAGACAATAATATAGAACTATTTATCACCTCACTGAAACCCACACTTGAGATACAACATTACAGATTATGAGAAAAGAATGAATCCACATGGAGATAATTTATCTTTAAGGGGATGTAAAAAAACAACCTTGAGAAAGTTTGGCATAAATTACACTGATGGGCATTTACAGCAGCCATATCTAAGCCTCTATATAATAATGCAGCATTTACTTTGCTCCTTTTCTCCATTACTACTTCAATTTAATTAGTTGTTTTTAGTCTATTCAGATTTCCTGAGTCAGTTTTGGAAGATTGTGTGTTTCTAGAAATTTGTCCAAATTGTTGGCATATAGTTATTTGCAGTGTTTTCTTATAATCCTTTGTATTTCTGTGGTGTCAGCTGTTACTTCACCTCTTTTGATTCTGGTTTTATTTATTTAGGTCCTCTGTTTCTTGATGAGTCTGGCTAGAGGTTCATCAATCTTGTTTATCTTTTCAAAGAACCAGCTCTTGGTTTCATCGATCTTTCGAATTGTTTTTTTGGTCTCAATGTCATTTATTTCCACTGTGATCTTTGTCATCTCCTGCCTTCTACTTACTCTGGACTTTTCTTGTTTTTCTCTTTCTAGTTCTTTTAATTGTAGGATTAGAAGTTATTAGAGATTTTTCTTGTTTTTGGAGGTAAGCATCATTTTTATGGACACAGTTATTGTGTTGCAATGCAGTACCTCGGGGATCTGGTTTTTATTTCTCATTCTCTCCGCATACACACACACCCTTTTTTTTTCTGCTCTCACTACTGGAAACTACTTTGTCTTTCCTCTCTAATTTTCAGGTTCTAGACCCTATGGACTTCAAATTTTATAGGATTACATTATGGAGAGGGGTAGATAACTTAGAGGTTTTGCATTCACAATATAAACATTCTGGTATTTGGTACCATGCTTTCCGTATTTATATTTATATTCCCTTGTGTAGAAAATGAAAGTTCCAAACTTTCCTCATTTATTTCAAGTAATTTCTTTTTCTAAGAAGATTTCAAGAGAAATGACATGTTACCGAACAGCTCCATCAAAAGCTTAGTAAATTTCGTCTTTCCTAGAAATTGCAGCCAGTGTTTTGGCTATCTGCTATTAACACATTACCCTTTGCATACCATCTGATATTTGGCATATTTTATAAACAGGCTGAAAACTCCAGGCTGGATGCCAGCTACAATACATTCAGGTTTTATAATTATATCTTCCTGCAATATTCTTCCCACTCAGACAGCTAATAAATAGCTTAACTAATTTAAAATATCATCCTTTTCCTTTGTCTCTGAAAAATTTAGAAATTATAAGTGCATTTCAGAAAAATCATATTTTCTGCAGCCGCTCCTACCGTTGTGTCTTTGGTGTCCAGTAATGAACCAAATTATGAGGGAAGTGGGTCAACAGAATCATAAAACTCAATCCCCTCTCTTGAAGATCTTCCTACACCAGAGAGAGGAACAGTCTTTGGAGAATCTGCACAGATTCTCCAGAATTCTGTGATTCTGAGTGACTCACGTGGCTCACAGTGCTGCTAAGGCTTTATAACGCACTGCAGCCCTGTGCACGAATCCATATCCATGAGCCAGTGGCTCGCTGCTGCCCTCCTGTAGCTTCTCCAGCCCCCTCAGAGCTTGCTGCCCTGCCCCCTCCTGTAGCTTCTCCCCTGCCTGCTTGTAGCTCACTGTCCCACCCTCCTGCAGATCCGTGAGCTGGTTGTTACCCAGTTGGTTATTACACCTGACAGTGTAATGGCAATTAGCATATTCCTCTCTTATTATATAGGATTATATTATAGTTTATTCTTTTATTTTTTAATATATTTTATTGATTTTTTTTACAGAGAGGAAGAGAGAGGGATAGAGAGTTAGAAACATCCATGAGAGAGAATCATCGATCAGCTGCCTCTTGCACACCCTCCACTGGGGATGTGCCCGCAACCAAGGTACATGTCCTTGACCGGAATCGAACCTGGGATCTTTCCGTCCACAGACCGACGCTCTATCCACTGAGCCAAACCAGTTTCGGCAGTTTATTCTTATATAATTCAACATATTGAGCAATAAAGTCATTTTGACATATTCCTACTCTGCAGGAAGATTTAATGTAAGTAACCTTTTAAATAAAAACATTCAATTTCAGGAAAAATATAAATGAAATAGAGCAAAACATCACTTCAGGTTAAATCCTCCATGACCCCATGATTCCCTGTTGATACCATTAGCACATTGTCTCACATCTCTTTTGCGATGGCTCAGCACTGGAGCAAAAGTCACATCTACTTTATCATTGTGTCCTTGGTATTGATCCCAAGTCCATATTACAGATTATCCCTCTTTGTGTTGTTGTTTTTTTAATCATCAGTATAAATTTTGAACTTTGAAGTCTTCATAAGAGAATTGCAAACTCATTTAATATACATTATAGAATTAAACTACTCACTCGTTGTCAATACTCTTTTTAAGCCTTCAGCCTCTGAGCTAAAAGGGATATCTGCTGCTGGTAGATCTGGCAGCAGGTCATATAGGAAGACCTATATTCATTGTTTTTTGAAACTGTGTTAATAGTATTTGCCATTGGGAATCTAACAGTTCTAAGTCAATCAATTCTTAGCTGTGGGAACTTACACAGGAGGGCCAGTCTTTCTCAGGCTGTCCCCATTTATAAAATCGAGACAGTACTATCTCTACGGAAATTTAAGAATTGAGATGATATATTCCTAGTACCGGGTGAATATAAAAAGTGCTGGGAATATGGGAGGTGCTCCATAAATGGTTGCAGTGAAGATAGTTTTGGGGGATCTTTCTCCTGTCTTGCGTTTGGTGGTTCAGTAGTTGGAAGAAATGGAGCCTGTTGAGTTTCTGAGCTGAGGAATACTGGGGGAGTGAAAACATTCCATTTTGTGTTCAGTGTTGATGTTTCTGTCCATCAGACACGACTTTGATGAAAGCTAAGCTACTAAAGGATAGCCTAGATCAAACACAGGGTGTTGAAGTTTTTTGTTCCACTGCTAACCCTAAAATAACTGTGATGAAGTGCAACGATTTGGAACCTCCTAGTGTTTTCCTGGCGTGTT